AAATAAATGAAAAAAATTACATACTTATGGATTAGAAGAATTAATATTGTTAAAATGTATACACTAGCCAAAGCAATCTATAGATTTAATACAATCCCTATCAAAATCCTGATGATATTTTTTTATAGAAATAGAATAAACAACCATAAAATTTGTATGGAATCACAAAAGATGCCAAATAGCCAAAGAAATCTCAAGAAATAGGAACAAAACTGGAGGCATCATGCTCCTTGATTCAAACTATATTGCAAAGCTATAGTAATCAAAACAGCATGGAATTGGCACACAGACACATAGATCAATGGAACAGAACAGAGAGACCAGAAATAAGTCCATGATTAAATTGTCAATTAACCTATGACTAAGAAAGGAAGAATATACAATGGTGAAGGGACATTTCTTCAATAAATTGTATTGGGAAAACTGGATGGCCACATGAAGAAAAGTAAAACTATGCTACTATCTTACACCATGAACAAAAATTAACTCAAAATGGATTGAAGACTTTAGTGTAAGACCTGCAAAATAAAACTCCAAGAAGAAAATGGAGGCGGTAAACTCCTTGATATCAGTCTCGGCAATGATTTTTTGGATCTTATTCCAAAAGCAAAGGCAACAAAAGGAAAAAAAAAAAGCGAGTGAGACTGCATCAAACTAAAAGGCTCCTGCACAGCAGAGGGAATTGTCAACAAAATGAAAAGGCAACCTGCTGAGTAGGAGAAAATATTTCCAAATCGTATGTCTGATAAAGGGTCAATATCCAAAGTATATAAATAATTCACTTAACTCAATAGCCAAAAACCCCAAACAATCTGATTTAAAAATGGGTAGAGGACCTGAATAAATATTTTTCCAAAGGAGACATAGATGGCCAACAGGCACATGAAAGGATGCTCAACATCACTAATCACCAGGGAAATGCAAATCAAAACCACAATGAGATATCACCTCACATCTGTTAGAATGGCTATCACTAAAAAGACAAGAAATACATGTGTTGGTGAGGATTTGGAGAAAAGGGAACCTTCGTGCACTGCTGGTAGAGAGGTAAATCGGTGCAGCTACAATGGAAAACAGTATGGAGGTTCCTAAAAAAATTAAAAATAGAACTACTATATGATCCAGAAATTCCACTTCTGAGTATTTATCTGATAGAAATGAAAATACTAATTTAAAAAGGTATGTACCCCATGTTCATTGCAGCATGATTTACAATAGCCAAGATATGGAAATAACCCAAGCAATGGACGATTAGATAAAGAAGATATATATGTAAAATAAAATATTTCTCAGCTATTAAAAAGAATGGAATTTTGCCATTTGTGACAACATAAATAGACCTAGAGGGTATTATGCTAAGTGAAACAAATTAGAGTAAGACAAATACTGTACCTCACTTATACAAAAGGGGACCCCCAAAAAACCAGAATTATCTTCTGGAGGGCAGGCCTATTGTACAGGCTTCCCCAGCTAGGTGAGTGTTCTACGAACCCATCTGTATCAGTGTACCAGCTGATGGTGTCGTCAGAAGCAGCATTCAGCTTCAGTGAATTTTTTTTGAAGACTCAACACATTTGCCCATTGCATGATGGACAATTTAGTAGCACACCTCCCCACACTGCATTGAGTGTTCAGCAGTTTTTGACCAAAAATGGCAAGACCCCTGTGCTCCTCCCTCCCTATTCCTGAGATCTTCCCCTGAGTGACTTTTATTTTTTTTTGTTAGCCTACATGAAAAAAGTCCTCAAAGGGGAATGTTTTGCCGATGTGGAAGAGGTGAAACAAAAAACAGCAGAAGCACTAAAAGGCATCAAAATCGGAGTTCAAAAACTGTTTTGAGCAGTGGAAAAAAAAATGTCTCAGTAGGTGCATTGCATCAAATGGAGGGTACTTTGAAGGTGACTGAGGTTTAAACAAGAATAAATACACAATTTTTTTTATAAATAAATTCTGGGTTTTTTGGGGGGTCTCTCCTTGTATGTGGAATCTAAAAAGCAAAACAAACAAATAAAAGCAAAACAAACAAAAAAGGTCATTCATATGGAGAACAGATTAGTGGTTTCCAGAGGAGGGGGTGAAGTGGGGGTGCGAAGTGGGTGAAGGGTGTCAAAAGGTACAAATTTACAGTTACAAGTAAGTCATGGGGATACAATGTACAATATTACTATAGTTAATAATACTGTATTAAATATTTGCAAGTTGCTAAAAGAGTAAATCTTAAAAGTTCCCATCAGAGGAATAAACATTTTTGTAACTATGGTGATAGATGGTAACTAGACTTATGATCATTTCACAGTGTATACAAATATTGAATCACTATGTTGTACACCTGAAACAAATACAATGTTAATGTGTCAATTATACCTCAATAAAAAAAGAGTCATAGATATTTTAAAAAAAAATAGAGATTGATGGTCCTCAGTCCCAAGAATTTTGAGTTAGTGAGTCTGAGGTTCCTAGGCACATACAGCATGTAGTTTCTGAAACCACTGGTCTAAATTATAGTGGTGCTAGCGGAAAGGAAGTTATTTTGGTTTGGTTTTCTTTTCCACCACAAAAACATATAAATGCAAACAATTGCTGGGCTTTTTTTTTTTTTTTCCTGGTTAGGTGCAAAAATAGCTGTCTCTGAACATTTCCCCCATTCTGTCCATTAGCCTCCGTGTTGAAATAATCTCTCCTTTTAGTTTCTCTCGTGAAATGAAAAGCTGTTTTTTCTGTTCTTGCTTGAAGTGAAAGCTCAGGAAGCCCCTTGCTGCAGCTCTTAGAATTGCTAAAGTGAGTAAACAAAAGCAGGCCTTCTGGGTGGAAAGGAACTTTGTACTGAATGGCAGCTATGGCCCTGAGTACACTGATAGAATTTTCTCTTTAGCTTTTACTTTCTTTCTTCACTGTTCTTCTACCTGGCAGGGGGGAAAAAAATCATCTGTGTTCTGGCTGCCAAGGATGACATCACAGCTCTTCTGAGCATTTAGCATAGTAACAACCTGAATGGCTGCATGTCGCTGCAGAAGTCCCCAGTTTCTCGGCAGAAAAATGGACACAGGAATAGGAAGGGAGTCACTTAATGGATTAAGGACTGGCTGAGCTGGGACCAAAACCCAGGTGGCCTGGCTCCCAGCCTGGCTGACCACACTGCTACCCACACAGCCTGGGCTGACCCCAAACAAGCAGTCCATTGAGCAATTTGCACAAACAACAATGAGTGATGGATGGTCAGAGCAAGAAATAGGCACAAAGCAACTGCAACCCCATCACTTCCTGGCCCCTAAATTTCCAGGCAAGCCTGTAAAGTGTGGTTACTTAAATGAGTTTGACCAGCAAGTTGGCCCAGCTTTCATATTGGGAAACTTTTTGTGGTCACTGCCAAAAGTAAAAGTCTGCCTTGTACCTGAAGGTGGAGAATGCCTTTGAACTCCATACATGGCCCTAATAAGTCTGCGGTAGTTAAGACTAGAAATATACAGTTAACAGATAGGCATAAACTGGTTCCTGGGAGGGCCTTGCTGAAACAAGGCAGCTTTAGCTTTTTGAGGCTCCTCATCTCTGGATCTGTCCTCCTACCTCGGACTTATCTAGCAAGGGGTGGATGTGATCAATCGAGTTCAATTAGAATAAACTTAAATGACCAGGTCTCATCATACTCCCCTCCTCAAATTTACCACTGAACTGTAGCCAAAATTTGTAGTCCCCACATGCTGCAGCCCAGGCTTTGGTATGGCCCTAGGCCCGGGCCTAAATCTTCCACTGTAAACCCAGGGTATCCCCAAGAGATACAGCTATCTAGGAAGTTTCCTGTTTCAGGTGTCGATTTTCTAGCCTTGAGCTGGATAATTCTAAGATGTCAATGCTCCACATGTTTACAAACTGAGGACTTCAGAAAGTATTGAAGGGGCAGAAAAGCTGACTGTAATATTTGTTTTTAAATAGAAAAGGCACAAATTAGACAATAAGCATTTTGAATATGCAGACCAGGTGCCACAATGTTAGGAATCTGAATGAAAGATTTCCTTGGTCAGATGATAGTGGGGACTGGCCCCATTTTGTGTTTGTCATTAACAGGTATTTATTAAATGGCACTTTTTACTTGAAATAGTCCACATTCTTCTAATATTTATTTATTTATTCATTCAACAAATATGGAAGGTCTGCTATGTGCCACGCAAGCTTATGTTCTCATAGCCATAGTTCATTGTAACTCACATAGTACATATGTGAATTCTGCCTTATATAATATAGTTTTAAGTATTTTACTTAAGTGTAAGATCCTTGATGGCTGAAATTATGTCTTGTTCATTTTTGTGTCCCCAATATCAGTGAGCAGAATGCCTTGCACAGAGGAGGGACTCAATAAGTATTTGTTGAATTGAATTATGTGCTAATGCTGTTAAAAGACATTACCAAAGAAAGTTCCATGTAACTTTGATTGAGCTAACAGTCTAAGGCAGACCTGTCAATAACGTATCATCATTATGCAAGTTAAGAAGTATTGGGTGCTTATAGAGAAGGGCATGTTTACTTGATGAGTGAAGAAAGGAGACTGCATAGCTGAGTGGAGACTGTTCTGTAAGAAGCGTTGTTAATTTTCCTCTGGTCAGTCTAGAATGATAGAGTCTTCTCATTCTAGACTCTAACTAGAATTTCAGTCTTCGCATTCTAGAGTATTTTCATTCCTCTCAACTTTCTATAACTACTACCCTGCTTCTTTCGGTTTCTCCCCAAAGTGCTATAGCCAACTGAGTGTACCTCAAAGTCTCAAAAGTTTATCCTGACCCCGTCCAGCTCGGATTCAAGAACTCTCCAAGCGAGGGGCTTTAAGAACCGGGGCCAAGAAAACACCAGGTCACGCGGAGGGCAAGCGCCAAACCGGCCACGGCCAGGGGGAGCGGCGCTAAAGGCGGGGCTGCTACGGGGCGGGGCGGGGCGGGGCGGCAGGAGGCCCGGGGGCGGCTTGGGTGTCACCACCAACCCACTCCGGCCGGAAACTGGCGCTTGTTTCCGGCCGGACGGCCGAAAACCACCGATCCTGAACCAGCCGCCGGAGTCGGAGCTGCGACCGGGTGTGGAGTAGGCAAAAAGCCACTGGGGGAGACCAGTCCGGAACAGTCCCGTCTGGCTCCAGTTCCTGATCCTGTGCGGAGCAACAGTCGCGGTCGCAGGCTTCGCCACCGCCTCCGCCTCCATCGTCGTCGGGGGAGGGGCCGGCCGGACCCCGGGGTCACAGCAGAGGAATGAGGAGAGGCGGCCGGGCCCCGCGCTCCGCCCCGGCCTAGGGCCTTGCCCCGGGAGCCGCGAGGGTAAAGGAGCCCCCAGTCCTGTCACCCTCCCCCGTCTGCTCCCGCTCCTTCAGACTCCCAAACTCTGACCCTCTGATCTCCACTGTCCTCCTCCTATTTTCTGATTATATTTCACCTGGTGCCATCGTTTCTCGGCACCCTCTCCTCGCCCTGACTGTTCCTCTTTTCGTCCCAACCTTTTCCCTGTTACTCCTCCTTCACCTGCGTCCCGCGTTGCCTGCCTCCCTCCGTCGTTCCTGGCCTCCGAAGTGTGCTGGGCAGTTTGGACGGTCCCCCCGCCTTGTCAGCTAGACTTTCGGGGAGGGATGGTGGAGTTTTAAGGGTTTTGGGAGTGTAGGGTACTACCCCCCACGGGAGCATAAAGTTCATTGTAAAGTCTCAATATAAGAACGAAGTGAGAAGATAACAAGCTTGTTCTCTCTGTCGATAGCCAAACTGAGGTGCGTCCAGTAATGGAGGAAGGGAGCGGAAAAAGTGTGTGTTTGAGTGTGTGCAGGAGAGAAGGAGCGTCTAGGGCGGGCGTATGAACTTTAGAAAAAAGCAAAGTTGCCATGAGCCGATGGAAACTTTAGAAGCTGATGATGAGTAAGCCGGGGGCTGCGTGATCTCACTCCTCTTCTCATAATTACTAGGTTAACGGTGTGGCTCCGGTCGGGATGGAATTGGATTTGTTTACTGGGCCGGCGTATTTTTAGCTTGTCGGCTCACTAGGACCAGCGAGCGCTGTGCGTCTCTCCCTCCCTCCCTCCCTCCCTCCCTCCCTCCCTCCCTCCCTCTCCCTCCCTCCTCTCTCTCCCTCTCTCTCCTCTCTCTCTCTCTCTCTCTCTCTCTCTCTCTCTCTCTCTCGCCCTCTCTTGTCCCTCTCTGTCTAGGTAGTTTGTCTAACGTAGGTGGCTCCTCTGGGCACAATACAGATATATTAAGTTGAAAGCCGACTGGTGAAATTTTATGTAAGAAATTCTCTCCAGATTCTTAGGCAGTTTTCATGAATGCAAAAGGAAGAATTAGCGGGACTTTGACTCTTAGTTTACTTATCTTTTTATAAGTACGTATTTAAAACGCCTTTTAGAAAATCAGAAGCCGGTAATTTTTCAAATCTTTGTCTTCTCATCTTGTATGTTTAGATTTTGAGGAGGCTGGATCCCTTTGACTTTCAGAACCTATTTCTGATGTAGGAAAGGATAGAGTGGACCAAAGAAGTGGTGGTAAGGCTAGTCCAGAAGGGTCGATAATCCTGAATATTCTTCTATATTCTATAACTTTAAAAATTTCCTCCCTAGTATATACGATTGCATTCCTGATGGGGTGGGGAAGACTGCAGGGACTTAAGGCAGGTGGCTAGAGACAATCAGACTTGTAATTAAACATTTGCTCTGCATAATTTACAAATGAATACATTATAGGCAAACAATTACACTCTTTGTCCTCATTGTTTTTTGAGCAGTTCTTTTAAAGTTTAGTAATCATCCTGCTGGGCTAGTCTATATTTTGAAGGCTGAACCGAACTGTAAAATAAATGAAGTTGATGTTGCTCATCTGGAGTCTGAATACGGTCTGTTACAATTTTATGTTACAATTTCCACTAACTACCTTGTGTGCCCCAGAGCACCTCCCTGAGTAAGTGGCCAGTTACTATGTACTTAGGGATTGTAAGTGAATACAAATATTAGCTCATGCTAGGAATAATTGAGAAGGTAAATATGCTGGAAAGGTATTCCAAAACCGAAATATGTTATTTAAAAATGTTTTCCATTTTGGGTCATCAGCATCTTTCTGCTGATAATTATCCGTTAATATGAATAATTTAGAGTTGAACAGATATCCACCTTGGACATTCTGTGTTCAAGCAGGAAGGAAAGATAGAAAGAAGTTAGTTCTGAAACTACTGCTAATTTTTTTGGTGTTGCCTGATTTGACTTATCCCTTTCATTTAATGCCAAATGCTCCTTTGTGAGGGGGTGGGGGGAAGTAAACCTTTGCCAAAGGAAGAGTTGTCTGCTGACTTGTATAAGGCAGGCTGGCCAGTAATAGATACTAATAGTTAGTTGGACTTGGTAGAGTTTTGTCACCAATGACTTGGAAATTTTCCTGAACCTTTATTTCCTTAATCTCTTTCTTTTGGGACACCTATTGAAAAAAAATTTTTTTTAATTTGGAGGGTAAAATCTGATTTTTAGAAATCACATGCACCCTCTCAGAGTTTGCTGATGAGCAATCATTCTTTCAGTTTCTGAGTTGGTTAGTGTCAATATTAGTGATACCTGGTAAATACAATTTATATCTGTATTTAGCAATTTTCCCTAGTTGAACTACATATATTCCATGGGGATGAGGTGTGATTGGAGGGGGTGAGTATACCGGGACCTGGGATTAAGTATAGAGCAACCCAAAATCCCACTGCTATTCCCACTTCTCAGAAGGCTTTGTGTGAGATTCAGTATATATAACCTACTAAGTTCAGATGGAATAACTCAGTATTAAAAATAAGTTTTCACATTGTTACTGGGGCACTGAATAACACTTGCTAAAAGTTTTAGAGCGCCTAAACGTCTCAAGCATGCTAAGGATGCTGGCAGGGGACGTTGTAAGGGAGCACCCCTTCTTACTGTAAACATTCGTCCCATCAAGGGAAGAATCCCAGAATCATGCTCTGAAATGTGACTTCAGCAGTATCTTTCCTGTGGGAACGTGGGAGCAGTGGAATCTCAACACACCCTGATAAATTTAGATAATCAAAATCTGTGTGACTGAAATATGACGTAGATGCAGGGCAGTTTTATTGTGAATGCCTGAGCTCAGGTGAGTTTTTAATATGATAGAAGAAGGGAGTCGCTGCTTTTTTTTTTTTTTTTTTTTTAAAGTAAGAAGTCCTTGCTAAATAACAGTTGAATACTCCTGTGGATAAAGCAGTCTCCAAGCCCCAGTGACAGGCTGTGAGACGATATAAAAGGTATAAAGACAGGTGTTTTTGCCCTTGGGATGGGGTGGAGTTGGGGAAGGTGGTATATAGTAAATGGGAGGGCAGACTATTATGAGCTTTAACATACAGGAAACAACATAGAAACAAAACCAAATTTAATGTGCTACAAATACAGTATGTAAAGTCTAGTAAACTTGAAGGAACAAAGAATAAGATGAGTTAGGGAATATTTCTGAATCAGTAAAATTTGAAATGGACTTGGGAGGCAACGGATTAGAGTCTTAAAGAGGCATGGGCTATAGAGTTCGATGAAACTTGGTTGAGGTCTTGATTAAGGTTTATACTGTGTGACCTTGGGCAATTCTCCATCCTTATTTCTAAAATATATGTAATCATTCAAGTAAGTGTCAGAAATAAAAGAAAAGATATTCCAGGCAGAAAGTATAGAATGTACACTGTGCCCTGATGATATGAATGACTAAGCTGTGTTGGGAGAATAAGTGAGAGTGATTGAGAAAATGTGGGCTGGTCAGGTCATGGGTAGAGCAAGCAAGAGGGTGGAGGGGACTCAGTAGCCCGACTCTGTTGTGTGTTGATGGAAGGGTCAATAGAGTCATTGTAGGTCCTTGAACAAAGGATGGATTTAATAAGAAGTATTGAGCCTTCTGGTCCAGGAACTCAGGGACAAGGAGTCAGGCAGGCACCAGTACATTGTGACTTTTCTGCTTCTCTTCTGGACCATCCTGGTTTAAAGGGATCAGCCAGAAGACATAAGAACCCTTGTACAAGTTTTTGTATTCACACACCTTACCCACTATGCTGAGTTCTGCTTGTGCCTGTTTAACATTGTACTGACCTGTGGGGAAGTCTCAAGACTATGGTTGGATTCTTCTCAATAGCTTATAGTATGGGCTATATCATGTTTTAAGTACCTTTAACTTTCTCTGCTATTGTAGGGAGTACTAGTATAAGTATTTCAGAACTTCATAAAGAAATTTCTTGGCTTGATTGCATTATTATTACTACTTTTTAATCCTCACCCAAGGGCATGCTTACTGATTTGAGAGAAAGGGGAAGGGGGGGAGAGAAAGGGAGAGAAACATTGATGCAAGAGAAACATCGAAAGGTTGCATCTTGCACATACCCGGACTAGGAATCAGACTCCTGTGACCTTTTGGTTTTGGTTTACAGGATGACGCTCCAACCAACTGAGCCATACTGGCCAGGGTGAAATGCATTATTTTTAACATCAGATTAATTTTTGTGTTTTAGGGATCATACTGATGTTGAAGTGAATTTGCATTTCTAAGCCTATATTACCTGACAGTGAAGAGAGTAAACTGATGGCTAAGAACAGTCAATATTGGATAAAAGATTTTGTCTCAGAAATCCATAAAATGATAAATCCATTTGTGGATAATCAAGACTAGACTGTGTATGTTAATGAAGAACAATTGCCTTTCAAAATCTGTGTGGGTCCAATGTGGCTGCTCAGGTTGTCTTCCTTTTGCTCCAGAGCAATTAGTAGGTGATGATACCTGTGTCACAGACAGAATGAGTTTCCATTCACAGTGTTTGGAGGAATCTTACTGTGGTCTGCTGCATTGTTGAAGGGTATGTTTTGTTTTGTTTTTTTATTTTTTTGTTTTTTTTGTTTTGCATTATTGAAGATTAAGGTGGCTTTTTCAGAAGACTTGGGTTTTGTAGAGCCTCTTCCAGATGTCAGCTCCACTGAAAATCTGTCAGATTTTTTCTTCTGGAGTAAACATGTTTGAAAATATGGCCAATTAAAAAAAAAAAAAAGGAAAGGAAGAAAGAATGGCCCTGACTGGCAGGGCTCAGTTGGTGGGTGTCGTCCCACAGGGCAAAGGGTCACCAGTTTGATTCCCTGCTGGTCACATGCCTGGGTTTTGGGTTTGGTTGGGGGCATGTAGGGGAGGCAGTCAATAGATGTTTCTCTTGTTGATGTTTCTCTCCCTCTCTTTTTCCCTCCCTTTTCTTCTCTCTTAAAAAAATAAGTAAATTTTTTTTAAAGGAATGAGAAGTATTTGCATTTAAGAATAAACAAACAAAAAAATCACACAGCTGTTCTTTCTTTCAGTGGACTTGCTTTCCTCCATTCTTGCCTACCCCTCCCCCCACCCCACCTTCTCATCATCATTACCAAACTATGTGCTTGTGATGTCACAAGCACAGGATTATCATTCACCTCTTGAGTCAGGAGGTTGTAGTATCTCTCAGCTGGAAATCAGAGGTGGAAGTTCAGGAATCTTAATTTATACAGTGTAGTTCAGGATTATTTTTAACTGTTTATTTCCTCGAAGAAATAGTTTTGGATAGGATAAATTACTAAACTCTTATTTTTAGTGACCTCTGAGTTTAATTCTATGCTAAGTGCTGTGGAGGATTAGGTAAAATGACAATTTTGTGCCCTTGAAGAGCTTACAGTCCACTTGAGAGTAAGGAGAATAGGAAGGAGTGAATACCTATTGAGCCTTTATTTTGCCACACAAATTTGAA